AGGAGTAACTCTTCTACAGTGAAAACGCTTTATTAAACGCTGTATGAAATACTCGATTTTAGGACTTCTAGGAAAATGTCTGTAACTTTTTGATGCAAGGTAATACAGAGTTGTGCGAGGTCTTATTTTGATCAGAAACATTTGTTCTACAAAGCTGTGTTTTCAAAAAAATTTTAATTGCATAAGTATCCAGGAAAAAAACATTATTTAACCACCCATTTTTTCGAGGCTCTTGGAAAACTTGCTCAAAATCCCCGAAAAACCAGTTTTGTAACCAAAAGCAATACAGATTCTGGAGTAGACACTTCAGGCTATCTTTCCATGTGCGTATCTCAAAACCGATTTTTTGACCGAAAATCACCATTTCTGAGGGGGGGGGGGGGGCCCTTTAGTCCCATTTTTAAAAATGTTAAAGAANCCCCCCCCCCCCCCCCCCCCCCCCCCCCCCCCCCCCCCCCCCCCCCCCCCCCCCCCCCCCCCCCCCCCCCCCCCCCCCCCCCCCCCCCCCCCCCCCCCCCCCCCCCCCCCTTAAGTCCGATTTTGATAAAAGTTACAGAAACTACCAGTTATACCACTAATGGCTCACACTGGAAATTTCAACGTGGTCTGTCAGCCGACTCGGAGTTATAGTGCAACTATCCTCAAAAGGAGTCAGGTAACCTTCCCCAAATTTCTCAGACGGTTTAGGCGCTACAGAGCTCAGGATGGTTGTAGAAAAATGAGAATTTTTGAAAAGCTCTTAGGGCATTGAAGAGAAACACATGTTTCGAGAACAGCAGTGTCAACTTTCAACTACCAATCTAAACGTTCACTACCCTTGTCACGTTCTAGTTGGACTTCTTGATTTGTCCAACTGATTTACAATAAACTTCAGATTTATCCGTTCTACAACAAATGCATATCTGTAATTTAATACAACAGTCGGTCGAAGAGCTATATGGTTTGTCTTCGTCCTTCAAAATAGATACTTTAAGCTACGAAACAATATCTCTTAAGGATAAAACCCTCTTCATTACTTACCCTCCTTTCATAAAATTTTTATCATTATTTCTTAATACGATCTTATCTGTTTCACCATCGGTACCATAGATAATTACGTAGATCTGTCTGTTTACACCCTATCCAGCGAGGCTGCCGGTTGGAACAGTGATTTTGCATGTATTCATAGTAACAGTCATTTGTCGACTCATTAGCTGTTTAAATCGATGTAGAACAACTAAACACGCTGGTTCTTATTGTACATATTATGCCTCCACTTTGTTTTGGTGTACTATTATCTACATGATATAAGAAAACTGTATATCAGAAAGTTTTCCACATCGGTTTTAGCTAAAATGTATTATAGAGTAAATCTTACATCACAAGGTTAATATAAATAATAGGTTTGATATAGATTGTACATATTAAAATACTTTTGTTGTTTTATATTAAGCTACAAATCTATATTTTCTCTCTTCTTCTGTGTTTCCTCCAATACAAAATATCTATTATTGAATGGACACCATAGCACTATCACAACTATGGCGTCAACGAGCTAGATCCAGAGATTTTTTCTTTCGCATGGTATGAAGGGTTTTAAACTAAATTCTTGTGATGTATAACAGCTAATTTCGTGAAGTAGAGAAAAAGATGTGAAATAGGTATGGGGAAAAGTATGTGGAATATATCATTAATAGTGGATCAAGAATTAATTCGCATACTATTTATCAAATTTAATGAAAGAATAAAACGCTAGAGGAAAGTATAAAAATAATAAAGGTAGCGTTCGTTTTCTCGAAAATCTGATTTAACACAAATCTTTTTCTCTACTTTACTAACCATTGTTCTGGCAGGTCTGCCCTTTTTGCTTCGTCCAACCGCCATTTTTTCGAAAAACACTACTAAATGGCATAATGTGAACTATTAATAAATAGTTTACGTCATTTGTTAACAAGATTATCTATTATACAACAAAAGCATTTAGTTTAAAACCCCTACATCGATTTAAACAACTAACGAGTTGGCAAATGACTGCTACTATCAATACATACAGAATCATCGTTCCAACCCGCAGCCTCTCTGGATAGAGTGTAAACACACCTACGTAATTATCTATGGTACCGATGGTGAAAGAGATTTTTTTCCCACAGTTGATTTTTGCTTCGATACGTTTCGAACATTTCTCCTCCCCTTTGATACTACAAAGTGGGGTTTGTTCTTCTTTAATAAAGAAAATCTGAAACTACAACCCGGCATTTAAACTGTGGGCGTTAAAGTGTTAGTTTTTGTAACTAGTGATTAAAGAACAGTGAATGAACGCAGATAAACACAAGATTAACCGATAATCGACTCTGTTTTACACGGCCCGTGATTACTGAGATAAATGAATAGAAGTCAAGTCTGTCACGTGGGCATGAGTTCACGAGTTATGTGACTCTCAAAAGTTTCAAAGCCACGTAGCGAGTTAACTGTCAAATCGTTTTTTTATGTATGTACGTCCGTCACACTGCCACGTGACTATATGTCTGTACGTCCGTCACACCTCTGTACTGACAAACACAAACACTTTATTTTATATGACCATAAGATTACAGTCAATGGATTAACGTACACTTCTCGTTCCTTCGGAAACTATTCGGAGGAGTTCCACAAAATATACCCTGCAAAGACCGATCATTACTTATTGAATACATCATGTCCTATCAACCGTGTCTTCGTTCATGATGAATATACTGAGATTGAAATATATTTTATTCAGAATGCAATGCTGATCATAACAACAATCAAAACGAAACAAAAGCATTTTGAACTAAACGCTAGAAAATAGAAGTCATTTACTCTAGTTATTATAAACTGTTTATAATTGGTGCATAAATGTACTGAATTCTTGTTGATCTAATGTACCATCGTGATTGTAATCTGCAAATTTGAACATGGCTCCGGCTGCATCGTATCTACCTGTGTGGGTCTCAGGTGCGCCTATTGCAACATCAGGACCGACAAGATAACTGAAGCTTTCGCGAGCGCCTGCTGCTCCACCGTATTGTTGTGCAGCTGCCGCGTTACCAGAAAATCCAGAAGATGCAACATCACCGCCTACAGGATAGGTGATGGATTGCGCACTTCCCACAGATTCAAATGATGATGCGCTTTGATCTGCAGCAAATCCGCCAGCACCAACGAACCCACCAGCACCAACAAGCCCACCAGCACCACCAAATCCAGATGATTCGAAAGAGCTTGAACTTGCTTCATATCCCAATCCTCCCGCACCAGCATATCCACCAGATGCATATCCACCTGCACCACTGTAGCCAAATGCCGCTCCACCAGGGGGAGTCTAAAAATAAGAAAAAGAAACTATGATGTATCTCTTCTTTTAGACAGGAAAAATACGTACAATATCTTCAACTACACCAGCTGCACGTGCATGTTGTACTAATGTGACGGCATCAACTAGTTGACCACCATAACGAGAAACATACGCTGCAGGATTTTCTGATTGAACTCCTAGGCGTTGAAATTGTTTAACAACACGCACTTGTGGTGTCTCATATTGAATAATTGTATTTCGTGGACGTGCATATTGTTGAGCAGCTCCTGCACGTTGAACAATCGTTCGTCGTTTCGCCTGTGGTCCGTATGGGATCCATCGTTCAATGACAATATCACCTAGTCAAAATTGAACAGAAATTTTAAGATATCACATTGTTGTCTGCAAACAAAGGAAATATTTCACAAGACTAAATCCTAATTTGCCGTCACTGCTCGACTCGCACATAATGCTAATCAATCAACTCCGTATAGATGAAGGACAACTTCTTTCCATCCACTAGCTGTGTAAGATACATTTGCTGCTTTCTCATTCCCAGAAGCAAAGTGTAACTAATTTTGCTGTTACAAAAACTGTATCGAGTCCTGAGTGCAAGTATCGTTCTAGAGCTTTTTCGTTTCCTTTTAGATATAGATTACCAAAATTTACTAGCCAAAGCTCTCCTTTTTCATAGTCCATGGCGGCTATCTTTTAAATGGTACAACGCAAGTTGAACATGACAGATGCAAAACTTTGTTGGTATACGCTTTATTCTGTCAGGATACAAGCGGAAAAATATTCCACCATAGTACTCTAAACTAAAACTAACGAAGAGCACAAAATCAATTTTGTGCGAATAGAGAGAGATAAAACTTTGTTGCTTACGTGGTTTTGGTGGAAGAGGCGGTAATCGTTCAATGATGACTGATCGTGGTGGAACTGGAAGAGCTGCTAATCGTCGAATGACTGTTTGACTAGCAACTGATTGTGGTGGTTGTGGTGGTCTTTCACGAAGAATAAGTGGTGGTCTGAAAGAAAACTTGATATGCGTTTCAAGAAAAAGTAATGATTGCACACGCATGAGGATCTCACTTCCGACTCTGAACTTAAAGGTTATTGCATAGTTCTCTGGTACAGCTATTACATAGACTTTCTATTTGATAGCTGTGAACTGGATTTATTTTTGGAGAAGTTTTATATCGGGATGATAGATATAGCATATTTTCTTCTACTGGCACTAAGTGCAGTGGATCTGCTTTCATCTGTGGCGTAAATATCGTTCTGAATGCATGTCGTTCTACTATACATTCTAATGTTCATCTGCTTCTTGTCATCTACTTACGGTTGAGGTCTGCTCGGAGCTTGTTGTCTAATTCTAAGTGGAGGTGGAGCTGGCGGTTGTGGTGGTCTAACCTCTCGGATTATGAGTGGCTAAAAATGGAAAAAGAGGTTACACAAAAGGGTTAACTTTAAGCGTTAGAAGTACTTACACCTGGAGGCGGGACCGGTGGTGGTTGTAAAAATTTGACTAAGATATTTTGCTTGTATGTGACACCGCCACCTGGAGCTGGTCTTCTAATTATTTGTGGATTAGAATCTTGATATAGACCTGCACCGGTAACATTAGCACCATATTGCGACCATTGTGCATTGCTTCCTTCTGCAATACCATATCCCGCACTTCCTGCATAATCTGATGCATATCCTCCTGCGGCATAACCGAGTCCACCTCCTGCGGCATAACCGAGTCCACCTCCTAAACCACTACTTGATTCAAATGAGGAGGATTCATATGACGAGGCACCACCAGCGCCTGCTCCATAGCCACCTTCATATAACGAGGCACCGCCAAAACCTGCTCCATAGCCTCCTCCATATGAGGCACCACCAAGGCCTGCTCCATAGCTACTTTCATATGACGAGGCACCGCCAAAGCCTGCTCCGTAACCTGATCCATATGATGCTGATGAATCCCAACTTGAACCATAACCGCCACCTATTCCACCTTGAGTAAGCACTGAGCTTGATTGATCGAAACTTCCTCCGTAAGCCATGTATGTATCACTTACTTATTGCTATTCAAACGATTGAGAGTAAATGGTGAGTTTTTTGCTTTAGATCATCAGCTTTTATTATTACTGAAAACTAGGAGCAGTGAAGCGTGTAATATTTTATTCTTGGTATTAGTTAATATAGCTGCAATATGTTCACATTAGATTACCATTACAATACATCACATTTTATTATCACTTCTACTAGATATCTGACACGTGTTGATGAAATAATCATTAAAGTAATCAAATACATAATGGAGAAAAATAGACAATCGCACATACCATTGTGGTTAATTTCGATATATTCTCATGCCTGCAATAATCTAACAAAGGTAACCGCACGCACGTAGTTATACTTGACGTCTTTGTTATCCTTTGTTTGCTGAATTGTCCTTCGAATTCTTTCTCATTATAACGTTTCACGATCAACAACAATAACAAGAAGCACGCTATTTTTCGAATCTATTATTTGTTGAACAGATAGGGATACCTAGATGTTTACAGTTAGTATTAATAAAATATGATCATGAAAAATAATGTGAAGGAGAAGGATACAAATAAAATGCAGGAATGCATGTTTGGCTACGGTGCGCTAAATGAA